TCCCTACATGAGAATTTGCTTACAACTCAATCAGTGAAGTAAAAGGAGTTCTTTGTTCCCAGCTTCAAGGAAAACACTATTTCATGGTATTTTTTAGTAAGCATAAAATGTTTTCCAAAATTTTCCTATTTGTTTCTCATCACCATTTTCACTTTAGACCTTCATTTTCCAACTCAAAATACCATTTTCAACGGCATCAAGCAGAATGTCCTCAACTAGCTTTGGCTGCTCTTGGACTGCGAAGCAAAACAAAGATTTTGAAAATGCTCGCTGTGTTTGATAAGGACAATGCCAACCGATGGGATAATGTTGCTAAGGCGGTTGGCAGAAAAACCCCTAAAGGAAGTCAAGAAGCATTATGAGCTTCTTGTTGAAGATAGCATGCTTATTGAGTCTTGACAATTGCCCATCTCGGATTATAGAAAAAAAAAATGAGGTTAAGGACTTCATCAATTAAATATTTTAAAAAGAGGCTTAGGCAAGCGGCCTTTGGCCATAATGGGCTAGGTCTATTCTAGCCTAGTTAGGGCTAGCAAGACTTTGTCTTGTTGGGCCAGGCCATGGGCAGACCAAAGTTTCAAATCCGGTGCCCAATCCCTACCTAACCTTAGAGCGAGCCTAACCATCGAGTCGTGCTAGTTTGTTAAAATCTTCTCAACCCTAGACCAATCATGAAGAAATTTCCCACTTTCTGGTTCAATTCAAATGTTCTAAATTAGAGTTTGTTTCTTTAGCATTATAGCTAGGTTCCTATATTTTTATAAACCAAGAGCAATATTTACTGATACATTTCTACTTAACTCAAAATCAAAAAAGCAAAGGCACTAGGTAACTATATATTTTACTTGCATAAACTATGATTCACAATATCTATTTCCTTTCCTTATTTATCATAACACTAGAAATGGGCCACGTCCATGACACTACCCCACCTCACCCCTTGACACCCTCCTTGTACAGAGCAGGCATTGCCCCCACTCATCAGCACAAAACACACCCCCTCTTCCCTATTGACTGATCTGCTCACTATGTGCTTTGCCTTCCAAAGTTTTCCTATTTGTTTCTCACCACCCTTTTCACTCTAGACCCCCCTTCCTCCTCAAAATACCATTTTTAATGACATCAAGCGGAATGTCCTCATCTGGCTCGTCTTGGAGTACCAAGCAAAACAAAGATTTTGAAAATGATATGTTTGTGTTGACAAGGACACTGTCAGCTGCTAGGATAATGTTTTCAAGGAAGTTGGCAAAGAAACCCCTGAGGAAGTCAAGAAGCATTATGAGCTTCTTGTTGAAAATATCATGCTTATTGAGTCTGGACAAGTGCCCATCTCGAATTATAGAGACAAATGCGATTAGGGAGTGCATCAATTAAATATTTATAATATATATATAAAAAAAGGCATAGGCACGTGGGCTTAGGTCGGGCTGGGTCGGGCTAGGCTGGGAGTAAATGGGCCTAGTCGGGCCAAGATGGGCCTAGTCGGGCCCGACCTTGGGCGGACCAAGAGTTTCAAATCCTAAGCCCAAGTCCTACCTAATCTTAGAGCAAGCCTAACCATTGGGTCTGATCGGGCTTTGGCCTATCAAACCTTGACCTACCCACTTAAGCCCACGATCCGCACATCAAATGATAATCCCTACATGGGAATGTGCTTACACCGCATTCGGTGAAGTAAAGGGAATTCTTTGTTCACATCTTCATGTCAATGAAGAAAATTGGGTGCTTATACATTAGGGCTTGTTCACAACTTCAAGGAAATCATTGTTTCATGGTACTTTTTTGTATGCATAAAACATCTAAACAGAAAGTTGTATGTAGGTGTACTTAAAAGAGGAACGAGTACATGCAATTGGCATACCATCAACACCACACACCAAAAAAAAAAAAAAACCTAACAGAATAGGAAAAGTATTGAATTCAAAGCATGTTATAGTCATAGTGATATAGGAGAATCTTTCAATCTAGGCAACATATGCTTATTGTAGGTACATGAGAATGTGCTTACAACTCATTCAGTGAAGTAAATGGAATTCTTTGTTCATAGCTTCATGTCATTTAAGCAATTTGGGTTGCTTATACATCATCTTCAAGGAAACCACTGTTTCATAATACTTTTTAGTAGGCATAAAACATCTAGACATAAGAGCATCTCCACCCACAAGGGCTAAGTCTAAGGCAAGGGCAAGCAAGGGCTGCTACTATTCACGTGAATAGTGTCAGCCTTTGCATTTGTGGTTCCACCCATGAGAGCTAAGTCTAGGGCAAGTCTAAGGCAAATACTATTCATATGAGATATGGGGAGATGAATTTGTATATAGTTTTTGGTGTGGGAAGTAAAGAATATGCCTAGGTATTTATTTAAAAAAATTCTGGAATTTTTGGTATTTTTTTTCTATTTTTTTCTATTTTTTCTTTTTTTTTTTTGGGTTGCTGACGTCATTATGACGTCAGCATTGCATCAGTTTGCCCTGGCAGCAGCTCGGGCTGAATTTGCCCTTGGGCCTGCTCGGGCTGGTGGAACCCACCATGAAACCAGGCTGCATCTGCTGCGCTGGAGGTGTCTTGGGCTCGCCAGGGCAGCCTTTCCCCCAGTTTGGGTATGGCGCTGGCGATGCTCTAGATGCTCTAAAGCTACATGTATCTCCAAATAAGGTTTGGCCCGAAATTTTTGTGTTCGAGCCTGTCTCGGATCGGGCTTTACGAATTTTTTTTTATTTTTCTAGCCATGCTGATGTTTCAAAGGGCTTGGTACTGGCCATTGGGTCCAGCCTAGACGGGCCTAACAGGCTGGGCAGCCTTAGGCCTAAACGGGCAAACAACTACAAATTTCAATTCTGATGGCCATTAGTTGATTTTCCTATTTATTGCATTGGATTTTTTCCTTCTTTTTTAGATACGTGCGTAATGTGTTGTAGTTGTACACATATTGCTTAACGCTAGCTACTACTACACAATAAAACAAACATAACCTAGTTCTAATTGCCCTAAATTACATGAGTAACAATCCTTGTTGCTTTGTCCCTT